AAGAAAAGTTCCATTTAAACCATCTTGACCACAATTAAGGAACAGTACCATAAATAGCTAATGAAGTGTAATTTATTTTTATTTATTTATTTTTTTGCCTAGCACATGCTGGCCAAGTATCCTACAACTGAGCTAGACCCTCACTTTGAGAATATATTTTAATTTACCAATTAATTAAAGAGTTTAACCATTAGCATAGAAAAGAAAGGCTTAAAGAGACTACTTCAGCTGAGGAGGAATATATACTTTGTTAATACTTTTGAAGGCTAAATTAGTCACATCTGTCCTACCACATCTTGAAGTTAATAGTTAAGAGTGGATAAATTCAGTTTTTCCAAAAATATAGTTTTTAGATAGCTATCCACTGATGTGCTGTTTTTAATTGGCAAAACAAACGTGACAAATAAGGTATTAATTTAGTTATCCCAGGCATGCAAATAATTCCCAAATATTGTGACAGCTCTTGGTTGCCACAATAGTCCACCAGGTGACATGTTTGGGTGTACCTCCCTTCTGTCAGTGTGTCAGAGGTGAGTGTGGGTGCTGGATAAAAGGTGATCTAAGTTTTTAAACAGAACAGCTTGCAGGGGAGTGGGAAGTAACTTGCAAAACTCGCTTCTTGATGAAAGTGACTCTGTCCTTGGTTCATCTAAGCGGCAGAGTGGCCAGTACCGGGGCAGCCTGTGCCCACCTAGCAGAGTTGGGATAAAATACTTAATTATTTTGGGGTGGTTTTTTTTTTGTGTCTGTGTGTGCCACATTCGTTTAATGAAAAACAATACTATAATTTAGGTCAGCTATGTGGCAAGTTATTTTGTTCAACTGTTTGTGGAGTGAGAGAACATTTAGCATTGTTGTGTGACTTCCTTGGGCCGCATGTACCACATGGCGCTACACACTGAACTGTAGAATATTGCTTCCTTTAGGAAATAGGAGCTAAGTTCAAACCTGATTTCCTTAAGTAACGTATAGCTGTAGCACTCTGGCTCAAAATTATATATGCATATTTATATATGATAAATATATATAATGGTAAGCATAATTTTATGTATTTCTCTCATTTGTTACATGTTTGTTACATTCAGATACATTATTCTAGCTTCTAAATCTATCCATAGGTAGTGGGCCATCCTGTGGCACTGATAAGCAATAGGCCATGTGCGCAAGGAAGGCTATAAGAAACAGAGAGACGGAGCTTCTTGAAGATCTTTAGGAGCAGGGCCAGAAAAGCTAGGCTAGAAAAAGAAACGAGCCAGTAAAAGGAAGTGAAAATTTTCATCAGCAAGGGGTGAGAGTAAAATGCTGTTATTTCCTGCCAACAAGTCTACACTGTGCAGAGGAGCAAATGCTTGCTAAAAAGAAAGTTTAGTGATGGGACCTATCACCATGGTAGGGATCTTGAAAACTTCAAAATTCTTTTTTTTTTAATTTTTAAAATGACCAAGTACATAAACTGTAAGCAAGAAAACTGAAAGAAACTCAGAGTGAAATAAGAAGATGACTCTTAGAATCCAGAGGTCTGTAGGTCTGACTTCTCCAAGCCAGGGGTCAGGGCTATGGGGAGTTTGGTTGACTTTGCTGATGCAGAAGTTAAAGATCGAGCTGATCTTGGGCCTGGCAGGACATCTCACAGCTCTGCGTTCTTGGCAGCAGCCTAGCGCTGGACTTATCATCTCTGACAGTTCTCCACTGTAAGGGATGAGACTGGCTTTCTGCCTCCTGTCATCCTGTGTAGCTTGGTGCTCTTTGGAGGCCCATGCTGTGGTCCAGGCCTTTCCCATCTTGCCCTCCACCTACTACCCTGTCAGTGCTTTTTTGCTTTTGGATTTTATTTGCTGTGTTTGTCTCGCTGCATTAGAAAATCTTATACCACACAGCTTGGTTCCAAGGTAAAATGTACCTATCAAATGTACTTACACAGTGGGGCCAGAGAGATGGCTCAGTGGAATAAGCGCTTCCCATGCAAGCGCCTGAATTCAATCCCTGGTTCTGCAAAAAAAAAAAAAAAGTGTACTTACATGGGGATGGGAAGCTTCTCCATGTCACCCGTTCATGTGCTACACATAGGTGGGACAGCTGTAGTGTGTCAGTGCTTTTCCAGGTAGAGCTTTGGCTCCTCTGTGCTTTGGGAAGCTTGCTGCCCAGTGTAGACATGGGACAAGAGAACAGGCAATTGTAACACAGTATGCCATGCCCTGAGCAGCTGCATCCTGCTAGTCTGGAAATGCCATGGCAGGGCACTGCACACGGTCATGAGTGTGGGTAGGGCGAGAGGAGAGTGTCAGCCTGGGTTCCCAGGAAACATTGGTGCCTAGGCCAACCAAAGTCTGAACATTGCATTGGAGTCAGTCAAATGAAGTGGGGCATATTGCGGACGAAGGAAACAGCATGTGAAAAGGCCCAGAGGCTCCAAGATCTGGTGTGCTCATTCGGCTAACAATCACAGCACCACAGAGTTAATTAGATAGGGTGGGGAGGCAGGAATTATCACAGTATCCCAGAGCACAGGTGTGTTGAGTGCTACTCTTCTGTGTGCATGTGCTGCATTTCTAAAAATAATGCTTGTTGTGGATCTACCAAAATCCAGGCAAGGAACTGTGTAGGACTAATTTAGGAATTGCCTTAAGTCAGAGCACTACAAATTATTTCTAAGTTAGGCTGATTTATACCCTGGCATCAAATGTGTTGCCCTTAAGTCTTTTTTTTTTTTTTT